GTCAGGCGCCTCTTCGGGGCCATCATCTGGGGCATCTTCATGACCACTGGCGTCCAGTTGGCTGTCGTCCATGCTGTAATCCTTCGTGTCTTGCTTCCCCAGGGGCGTGTAATAGTGGCACTCGATCAGTGGGGGTCGCCAATCGGAGGATTGCCAGTCAATATGAATGTTCGCGTACCGTGGGAGCCGATTCGAATCCGCGAGACTGGAAGCAACCTACGTTTTGTCTTCGGGGGAGGAGAGGTCGGGGCCCGAAATATGAAAAGGCAGCACAGTTTGTGTCTTCGACCGTTCTAGGAAGCATCTGTCCATATGTCGTTATTTTAGTTTTATTTCTTTTGCATGCTGGGTCTCGGAGGCCGCGCGACCCGTTTCTGTCCGCGGCGCCCCAGTACGGGATACATTGCCTGGATTGGGGAATTAATGGGGCTCTTGGCATTCTAGTTGCACAAATGATCCTTGCATCGTTGCATATTCTGACATAAGTTGTGAGATTTTTGTCAAAGCGCTAAAATCGTCAATATTTTTGCGCACGTTTTTACACTCATTCGAGTTAGCAATTTATCTCATATTCGTTCTAGCCTGTAAAACTGCTCGAAACCCAGATCTCGTGTTCGGCAGTGAGTCACGATGGCTCTTCTATCAGCAACATGGTTTGCATTCTATGTACACAATCGGCTGTCCTCCGATCCTGCCAATGTCCTCTAAGCGAATTGACAAGACAGCTGCTGAGGAGTTGCAGTAACTCCCATGGCACGCAGAGAGTTGAGAGCATACTCGCAGTGGGTTGGCGAGGTGAAGTGGATCTGGTCGTGGAAGAGGTACTTGCGGGCCGAGTACTGGCAGTTAGGCGAAGTGTAGTCGGGATTGGGTGGGCTAGACATTGTGAACAAAACGTTAGCCGATGTTTCAATGACAAATCTTCCAGTATGAAGACTCGGTGCCATTGCCTGAGATGCAATCGACATGTCGCAAATTTTGGAGACTTACACAAACTCGCCAATGGGCCCAACATCGGCGCAGTATCCGGAACGGTCCAGGTATCCGGCGGTAGGTCCAGTCCTCAACGCACCGCTCTTGATGTCACGAAGAGTCTGAGTGAAGTCCGGAGAGAAGATGGTGATCTGTCCGCGGTACTTGGTGTTGTTGTTGAGCTCGTTGATCAGAGCTACGACAGCCGTCTGGTAGTTGCGGGCAAAGTCGGCAACCTTGGCAATGTCGGTGGCACCGCGGCTCTGGATGAGGGGAATGAGCTCCGCAGGCAGGACAGAGAGGAAAATGAAGTTGCGGGCACCAGCATTGTAGATCTTCAAGTTTCATTAGCGATCGACGCTGCGATTAGGCTACCTTGATGGGATTACTTACCTGGTCGAACTTGGTGCGAATCGTGCCAATCAGGTTGGTGATAAGTTGAGGCTGGTTGGTGGTGTTGTATGTGTTGAGCACATCGTTTCCAGTGTTGGAACCAAGGAAAATGAACAGAGAGTCCCTGGATGAGGCATTGCCTGCCAGACGAGCAGCTGAGAAGACATTGGCGATGTTGGTGATCTGGTCGTTCCAGTTGATAATAGGGTTGAAGCCTAGAACTGAAGTAGGCGTGGCATACCGGCTGTCGGTGACGGCGCCGGGGAAGGCGAATTTGTTGAGGTTGACGTTGTTAGCTCCTCGCGCGTTGACGATGTAGTTGATGTGGTTGGGACCATTGGCGGTTGTGCTGTAGCTCCTGAAGTGCATCTTCGTCAATATACGGGCCTGCTAATAATTTAGTTCTCAACCTACAGCGCGCCGGAACCAATGTAATCAATAGACGCTCCAGCAGTCCAGATGTTACGGATTGTGTTGAACCCTCCCCAGTTTGCCCCTTGTGCGTCAGCTCCGCCGGTGAGCAACGCGGCACACAATACAAGTGCCGTGTAACACTTGGATAACATTGTACGTCTTTGTAGCGTTTCGAGGGCTAAATGGAGTTATCAAAAAAGAAACGACTGTGGTCTTGGCCTGAGAACTTGCTGAGTACTGCTGGTGAGTTGATGGAGAAAAGATCTGGATTCTGCTGGAGACAAGAGGTCTTTATAAACATCACCGATTGCATTGTTTGAGAACTTGTGGGCACAGCAGTCTGGATTGGATTCAAGTCTAGACCGTGATCCTGCATGCCGGGTTCATGTTGTCATCAGACTCTGTGCCTCATAACGGGCGCGGGTATTCTTGGATGTGCACCGCATATCGCACCTCTCACCCAGACAACAAGATTACTTTCTGCCCACCATGCGAAAACCAATCCAAAAATGCAACTGTCCTTAGCTTGTCGTATGCTCCTCCTGGGTTGCGCAAGACCGTCCGAGATTCTTAGTCTACTGGTAGCTCGTGTGGGGTGGTTGGCCCGGGCTTCGAAAAGACGGGACGGAGGGGCGAGCAGAAGCGGCCGTCCGAACCAGCTTCAACTTCAAATTTAGACAAAGTATAATGCTGTTCACTCGTCCGAAGTTTACTATGCCGTAATTCGCGTCATTATACATTATATTCAGATGACATAGCCTCCCTGATGCAGGGGGAAACTAAGCATTCAATTCCAGTGACACTCTGGCAGTGATCGGGCGGCTCTTTGGTATCTTTCAGTGATGAGAACGTCCCAAAATATTAACCAAAAACAGTGAATTCGGGTTTTTTATTTTCGAAGCACTTGTTGAGGTCCCAAACTTGCTGCCTTCCACGTGCGGGATGTCGGTGCGCGGTGCGGGATGTCAACAATGAGCTCGGATCAAAGCTGAGCCTCTTGCGCGACTGAATAGTTTGCCTAATTCCTTCGCGGACTTTGGTATATATCCGAGCAACAGCGGAATCTTTAGGTGCTGGGAAATATTCCCCGACACAGCAATGACACTGGCATGCAACTTTCATTCACTTGGTGATGCTTGGCTTCAACCGTAGGATGCTGTTTGGCCCAGCGATGATATCATTTGTATTAGGCTACAATCAACTTTTAATCGGAGTACGCTGGAGTCTTCGATGAGTTGGATGCAAGTTTATGAGCGGAGCTTCTATATCATAATAAGTCACTTGCAGTCACCGGACAACGGCATCCCTCGGTTTCATAGCACTTGCTCCTCTGGGGGAGATCTGAAGCCATACTCCTCAACGGGAACCTCGTTAGCCGGCGGCCCCCATTTCACCGCAAGCGCCATCAGTCCTGACCATGAAAGGCAGAACACGAAGATGTTCAATATCCAGACTCCCCAGGCCGTCTCTGGGTGAAACAGGTGAGGCATGCCCGGTGCCAAACGCTGCGCTTTGTCAACCGTCGGCCGCATCTTCTCCTCATATTGATCAAAGGCGGCTTGCAAGTCGTTCGGGAATTGTGTGATAGCGCCCGCCAAGTTGTAGGCGCCGTTCAGTGCCAGGGTCGTTCCCATGCCTGACAACGGACTCGCGCAGTATCCTGCATCTCCCAGGAGAACAACTCTGCCCTTGCTCCACTTGTCCATCTTGATCTGGCTGATGGTGTCGTAGTAGAAGTCATCAGTCGCCATCATCTCCTTGATGATTCGATCAGTCTCCCATCCCAGACCCTCAAAATATTCCTTCAGTATCGCTTTCTGCACTGCAGTGCTGCCCCCTTTTCGCTCTGCGGCTGCCCGAAGTCTGTCATCTTGGTCGTTGACAATGGCCATGAAGACCGTCGTACGGTCCTTCAAACCTGACGGACGGATCATGATTCCACGGCGGCCTTGGGCATGGAACCACCGGCGCCATTCCGAATCTGTGGGGCCACGCGGCATACTGAAGAAACCGCCGTACATGCCGAGTCTGTTCATCCTGTCCTCGTCACCTTCTTGCCCCCAAGCCAGTTTTCGGGTCCCGCTTTGGAGACCGTCAGCTCCAACAACGATGTCGACAGTCCGTCTTTCACCACTCTTCGTGAAGTGGGCATGGACTTTGTCTCCATCCTGTTCCAGCTGATCCAGGTAGTCTCCGAAGATGTACTCAATCCCGGCCCCACCTTCATCTTGCACCGCCTTGCTAACCTCCCGACTCTTCTTGTACAACAGATCTGCCATTCGGCCCCTCAGAATCTCGATGTCGCTTGTGGGAGTTTGCGTCCTGCCGCTTTTGTCAGCCCCGAAAGAGGCCCATATTTGGTCATTTTTATCGACGAAATGTACGCCTTCTTCGCCTGTGGTAGCACCGCGTATGGCGGCTTCGAGTCCGAGCTTACGAATGATGGTCACACCCGCACCTCGAACATCGATGTTCTGGCCCTGAGGGCGGAAAACCGGTGCTCTCTCCAAGATCGTGATGCGAGGTTTCTCAGACGCCGGTGTCTCAGTGAGTAAGAGGAAAGTGGCGAGAGTCGGCCCGGCGATGCTACAGCCGACGATGAGAATCTCCAGGGGTGCCATGATAGTGTGGTGCAGGCAGTTGCTCCTCTGTAAAGCTGGGTACGAGTACTAGATATTTGATGGCTGACTTCGATGCCACGAAAAGGACTCACGCAGACGGTAAAATATCCATTCTAATGCCAACATCTAATCAGGCAACAGGACAGCTTTCACGAGAAAATCTAATGCGTCATGAGGCTGGAATCCTTTCAACACGGCAACTTTCTGCCGCATGCTGACATGGCTTACATTCTTATCTCACACACTGTAATTGCAAAACGCGTAGCTACTTGTGCTTCGCCCGTCACTGTTAGTTGTCACGCCCGTTTGCGTGGCGATCGCTATGGGGCGCTAACACATCGGTTTTAGTTACATGTCCCCTCAAGATCGCTGAAGGCGCCTGTATCTCAGCACCTACAGCGTTTTCGACCGATGCCGTCCAACGCGGTGCATTGGACTGGAGTCATGCCTCGCTGGACATTGTGTGCCGATGAAACTGAACTACATTTATCATGGAATTGCAAATGCAGGTACTTGAAAAAGCAGATGTATTTTTGAGAACACGAGGCTCGTGTTTTCCTACAGTATCTCAATCACTACCTAAGAAATGCTCTTCAACGGTCAGTCTTGGGCGACCTTGATCGCAACCTTCCCTACAAAGCCCTGCCTGAACAAAGCTTTGTAGGCCTTCTTCGCATCTTTCCATCCAAACACCTCAGCGACCGGCGGCTTGATGTTGTTCTTCTCGACGAACGCACTCATCTCCTGGAACATCCCCAGACTCCCAAACATCAGGCCTCGGACTGCGAACTAAGTCAGTCGGTGTTGCGCTAAGGATCAATCTAAACATACTCGTCTTCGCACCAAAAACAAGATCGGGTATCAGATCATGTTTTTCGGAGCCGGACAGGAAGCCAATGGCCGAGACTAGACCATCTTGACGAAGCGCACGAAGGGATTCGGCGATGGTCGCGGCTCCTACGACATCAATGACATGGTCTGCTCCTCGTCCTTCCGTGACTTTCAGGACATCTTTGCTCCACTTGGGATTGTTTTTGTAATTGAAGACATGCGTCGCCCCGAGTTCGCGAAGGAGATCAAGTTTGTCTTCTGATGTTGAGAAGGCAATGGTCACCGCCCCAACTGCAGCAGCAATCTCGAACCTGTCAGTGTCTCTGCCCACCAGATACAAGCAACCTGAGCACAACTCACCTGAAGCACTGCGATACTAACACCGCCGGTGCCCTGAATGACCACAACGTCTCCCTTCTTCAGATACTGAGGGCCCCCAAAGAGCGTATTCCAGGCGGTGACGTACGGTCCACTGAGGGATGCGGCCTCTTCGAAATTGAGATTCGATGGCATCGGCGCAAGCGCGTCTTCGTCGAACACAGAATACTGTTGCAAAACTCCGTCCATGTCGCCTGATCCGCCGCCAACTTTGTTGTTGAAAGTTGCAGCAGTCTGACCAGCTTTCCAGGTTGAGTTGGTTGCGTTGATGACTTTGTCACCGGGCCTCCATCGCGACGACTTGGAGTTGACCTCAATAACGACACCAGCGCCATCGCTCAGGGGTACAAGACCTTCCATAGGGCTACCACTTGCATAGCGGGGGTCAGATGTCAAGATTAGTAGATCCCGATAATTGAGGGTTGCTGCATGGATCTGGACGAGGACTTGACCTTTCCCTGGCATCGGCTTAGGAACTGTTTCTAGTGAGAGGTTCAGGTCGATGCCTTCTTCGGTCAGGCCGCCTTGAATATTCTTTCGGACTCTCCATGCTGCTGCTAGGATTTCGGCCATCTCTCCAGTTTTGCGCGCACAACGAAAAGTAAAATTGTTTGAACGACTTAGAAACCGGAAACTTGGGTGTCTTTTATATAGTTGTGGTGCGCTCTTGCCGCTCTTCCCATTCTGTTCCACTTCGGTATTTTCTTGACGTGGAACGGCCCCGCGCCATCTCCATTGGAGTGAATTTCTAAGGTTGATTGCATAATCCAGGTTCCACGGCGAGCATCGTGTACGCTTTATTTGGTTGTGTCGTTATATGGCAGCATTTGTGCGTGATAACGTTGACAGGATATCGTGATTGAGTCAGCTTCCATCGCCGCGGATTTGTGTTTCTAAGTGCCTGGTCTGTGTAGCGTATTGGGGTACACAGCGTTCATCGGATCAACTGAGTTACCACTTATTTCTCCCCAGCCATACCTGTCACGTGAGAAGAGGCATTTTCTAATTAGTCCGAATGCGACCGCAAAAACCGAGTTCGAAGTGGTTGCTGACGTCGCGTGTCCTCCAATGAAGTTGGACGTTTCATGAAGGCCAATCGTTGGCCGCATGTTCAGGTGCTGATGCAGACTACGCCGCATGCTGCCCATTCTACGCAGCCTGATCAGATGATGCTTCTCACCCCCGCCCAGCTGCCTTGAAAGCCTCTTCTCTCCTGCATCAAAGTGATCATAGAAAGACGGGTGGCGGTTAGGCCATCGTGGAAATCGACACCACAATGGAAGCGGCTGGTCTTGCCTCTAGTATCCTGACATTCATCGACATTTCCTTGAAGATCGTCAAAGGCGCCCATGAGCTCTACAAGTCCGCTTCTGGTTCGACGTCAGAAAACAACCACATCGCCAACGTTGTCCTGGATCTGGAGAAAGCTTCTGGCTATTTGAGCATCTCTCAGTCAGGAAATAAGGATACAGGACTTCAAAGCCTTGTGGCTCAGTGTCAAAGCTTATCACGCGATTTACTTGAGCTTCTGGATAAGCTTCAAGTCAAAGACAAGACTCTCTTCAAAAGCTTTGCGGCTGCCTTTGCAAATGCTCGCAAGCAAAAAGACATTGCCTCGATCGAACATCGTCTGGATCAATACAGGCAGCAGATTTTGCTTCGTCTCAGCCTTCTTTTCTGGTATGTGGTATACATGACACTAGCAAAGAGTGTATGCAGAAGCTAACAATGGGTTCAGTCAAAGCCAAGCACCGATTCGCGCGCAGCTCGAGACGATTAGACAAGAAAGCAACCGATTACAGAACAAGCATGCGTCGGAATTAGAAAAGACGCACGCCAAGATGGAAGAGATCATAGAAGCTTTAAGAGGACAGCAAACCGATGCGAGGCCAAGTGCCACTTTTAAGCAGACAAAAGAGTCGAATCAAATCGCCGATGTCCTCGAATCTCGTGAAACAGAAGGGGAATTAAGAGCACTCGATATAGCCGTGGAAGTCGAAGCATACCGACTCAATTCACAAAGACCAGATGCATCGGGCGGACTCGCAGATCTTGCCAACATCTTGAGCGGGCTGAAGTCATTATTTGATGCTTTACGAAACGAAAACGGTGTCCTTAGCTCCTTGCATTTCGATGATATGTTTCGTAGAGAGGATGCTGTACGAGACGCATCAGTTGAGACTTTTGCCTGGATGGTTCAAGAGCCAAAGGCTTCAAGTATCGGATTTTGCCAAGATGATAGGTCGTCGGCTGGCAAATCGCGAAGTCATAGGTCTCTTAGCGGCGAGACAGACTCTGGCTCGGGGCAAAGCTACGATTCCGAGCAGAGCGATCTGAAAAGTAACAACGTGGACCCTCACTCGCGCCAACAGCGTCGAAGAAAGCTTGAGGAAGAAAGTTTACAAAGACGAACAGCCTCGGAGAACTTTTCGTCTTTCTTGAATGCGGTCGGGGGAGGTTCTTTCTTCATCACAGGAAAGGCAGGCTCTGGAAAATCAACACTTATGAAGTTTCTGGCAAATCATCAACGGGTAGTCAAAGGCTTGTCGGATTGTGCAAGTGGAAGAAAACTCGTCCGAGTAAATATGTTCTTTTGGAACTCCGGTACAGACCTACAAAAGTCATTGGAAGGATTTTATCGGACAATCCTATTTCATACCTTGCGACAGAGCCCTGAGCTTATCGAGGAAGTCTTTCCTTCGCTAACTGGCACCAACTCGAGCGAGTCGAACAAAAAGAGGCCTTCGAATCTCGTTCAAGCCTTTGATAGGTTAGTTCGAGTTGGAGCGTTCTCAACTCATGCTTTCTGCTTCTTTATCGACGGCCTTGACGAATACGAAGGGGACACGCTGGACCAGAAGGACCTTGCCGGCAGGCTATTTTCATGGTCGCGGGCCGACAATGTCAAAATCATCTGCTCAGGTAGGCCCTATACGGCGTTCTTAGACGTGTTCCGATCAAGCGACCTCTTTGTCAAACTGGACCATCTCACTCGAGCAGATATTCTGAGCTTCGCCATCTCTCAATTTGAGGATAATCTGAAAGATACAGCATTTGATGGCGTCCGATCCGCCTGTATCGGAAAGATAGAGGAAATTGCGGACAAATCAGAAGGAGTGTTTCTCTGGGCAAGCCTTGTCGTTAGGTCCTTGCTCAATGCTGCCTTGGATTACGAAGACGAAACACATCTCGTCCAACTACTGAATGAGTGTCCTACAGACCTCAACGGTCTCTTCCAGAAAATGCTGGGTAGCATCCACAATTCGGAATCTCTCAGACTCAGATCGAATTTCTTGTTCGACCTGGCTGTTCGATGGTGGTCTCAAATTGGCGGTATCAATGCTCTCGCTCTTACGTGGTTGCCTGAGCTCAACTGGTTTCAGACGGCTTCTGACTTTCCGTTCAACGTCCCCAAACTGTCGTACAATGAAGACGAAGTCAACAGAAGGGTCTCTCTGGCACATAAACAACTACATCTGCTGACACGAGGGTTATTGGAAGTTGGAAAGCCTGAGGATAGCTTTCACATACCCTTTTTTTCATCTCGAATCGGCTTTTTCCATCGAAGTGTCAAAGACTTTCTACAGACCGAATGGCTGCCAAATCTGGATCGCAGGCCACTGGAATCGATTCAAGTCCAAGCAGAAGTATTTTGCCGGCTTAAGTCTGCCGAGGTGAAATTTTCTCCCCAGACAAACCTTCAGACATCAGATCCCGCCTACGACATCGTCAATATGTATAACAATATCTTTAACACGTTGTCAATGTTCAGATTGCAACACAGCTATGAGGTGCCTGTGAAATACATCGGAGACATTGAAAAGAGTGGCTGTGACGCGGTGGCTGGGACCGAAACTCTTTTGCCCATTCCGTCGAATGCCAGTGGCCCGTTGATACCGGCCTGGACAGCAGGTGCTAAGATTCAAAAACTACGAAGGTTTGAATCAATGCAATTGGATACATTAGTCCGACTATCATTTTTACATATGGCCGCAGCATATGGCGAAGAAAATTATGTCCGCTGGCGCTTAGCCTTGTCGAATCCGAGTCCGATTTCGGCCATTGACGCCCCCGACACAAGTATCCTACTATCAGCTTATGTATCGGGCAACATTGGTCTTGTGCAGTGGCTACACAAGAAAGGACTTCGCCCAGATGATTTTTTGATTTGTGTCGATCTTCAACACAGCCAAAAGCGATACAGAATTTCTGTCTGGGAAGCCTATCTAGTCAAGTTTGCAGCTCGCATCGCAGAACCTCATTTCAGATTGGGGTATCAGACTGATGCGAAGTCAGAGCTCGAGGGGCCATATGATGTCCTGGAATTAGCTCTTCAAGCTGGAGCTAATCCATCGCTAAGAGTTATTGTTGATCTCAGGACGAAAGAATCGCGCAGCAGTTGGATATATAATGAATCTGACATCATCTCTAGTCACCACGTTGGCCTAAGTCAGCTCGTTGCGATTAATAAACCTAGGAACAAGGTGGCGTTATTGAAACTGCTCACGGAAAAACGTTCGCTCAGTCGGTTCTTCAGAAGAAAGTCTTCGGCAAAGATCGGAATGACATCAAAGCCTTCTACGGATAAGACATCTCTCAGTATTGACTCCTTTCCTCCCATTGAGACGGAGGAGCTGGCCAAGAACCTCTGGAGTGCAAGCGGTATTCTTTCAAGCAACGGTGATAGAGTTCTGAGAGACTTTATGATAAGAGACTTCTGATTGATCAAGTTGTAGCTCTTCTATAATTGATGGCATCCTAGATCCCCTAGAAAACTTGACCCTTTGTCTGGTGCACCTTGGATACGTTGACATTCTTCCACAAAAACACACAAGCCAGCGCCAACGGCATGAATGCTGCACCGCAGATAACCATGTGTCTCTGAACTGCTCCATAAGCCTGGATAATTCCAGCCCTAATTGGGCTTCCCCAAGCATATGAAAGCTGAACTTTGATATCTCCGTAGATTGTAACAGCGTCGCTCTTGGCATCATTAGGCAAGAACTGGATGAGCTTGTCCAAGAATTCATTGGTCCAGATGGCGCCAGAAATGGCACGACCAATGGAGCGACCTACTGAAGTTGCGAGGCCGATCAAAGCCAGCATTACCGAAACCTCATTGTGCTTGACCACAGACATAACCGCCAGTTGTTCGCAGATGATAATGGTTCCAGAGGAGACAGCCTTCAGGATTTGGCACATAATCACGTACCCAATGTAGGTATCAGGTGTGCGGAAGTGGATAAGAAGACCAGTTGAGAGGCAGGCAACCGGAATGGCGGCCATGGCAATCCACTTGTAGTGATGAGTCTGGCGGATGAGGCTGGTAGCCGTTAGCGACGTGCTCTTGTGAGAGTTGAGAAGCGACTTACAGTCCAACGATGGGTCCCCACGTGCAGGAAGCAATGGTGTAGATGTTCCCAATGAAGCCTGCCTGGCTGATACTCTGGTGGTGGACAACTTGGAGGTAAGATGAGAAGTAGGAATCCCAAGTGCCGAAACTGAGGGCGATGACACCAGCAGTGGCGGCAGAGCCAAGAATAGTCCGATCCTTGAGGTTCTTCCAGGGGACCAGAGGTGTATCGGCGTACATTCTCTCCCAGAGTCCGAAGAGAACTAGGCAAAAGATTCCGAGGATGATCATGGCAATAATGTGGCCAGAGACACATCCCTTTGCGGCATACCGAACCAAACTGAAGGGCAGCAGGAAGAGAGAGAACCCAAACATGATCAGCAGCATGCCCACGACTGGTCCACAGTAAGCGTCAACGTAAACATTCAATGAATGATGGGTACTAACCGTCAAACTCCTTAAAATAGAAGACCATCGACTCTTGAATGCTGCGGCCACTCTTCGTCAACTCAGGACCTTTGCCGATCTTATAGGCCTTGCGGAGGTTCCACCAAAGCATGCCGGTGATAAGCATTCCGAAGGCGGGGAAGATGATGGCGAAGGCTCCGAACGCCCAACGAAAGCTGCTCTTCTCGACAAATAGCTGAGCGACGACGGGACCGGCGAATGCGTTGGCAATGTAGGCCGTCGAGTTGAGGGTGTATATGATCATACGGTTACGGATGGAAGTCGTGTCAGAGATGATGACTGTGTGAATGTAGCCAATGCCACCACTTCCGACAGTCCAAAAGACCTTGAAGATATTAGCCCAGTACTGGGTGCAATTGATAGCTTGGGACAAGTGAATCTTACCTGTGCAGCGGCATACGTCTCGACGTTGCGGCAAACAGCCATCAGAATCAGACCAAAGCAGCAAAGAGCATGAGCAAGGATGTATGCCTCCATACGACCGAAGACGTTGAGAATCTTGGCGAATGGCAGTTGAGAAACACCGCCAGCGATTGAGGCGACGATACCAGTGGTGGCAGTGAGGCCATGGCGCTGGAACGATGATGTTACATAGGGGGCAAGGTTGCTGTTCATCTGCTGCTGCATGGAATGTGTGTAGGAGGTGATCCAGATGCTACAATCATGTCATTGTGTCAGCGGTGTCAATTGCATTGATAAGGTACTCTGAGGGAACCCACAAGATGTAAGTAAGAATCAGCGCTCTCCACGACCACGCGGAAGTAATGGCCTGGATCTTCTTGACACCATTTTGGGGTTCCGTTTTCTCATCTTCAGCGTCAGAGTTGTCGGAGGTGATCTCGGTTGTTGTTTTGCCAGGGCTCTTCTCGTCAAGGCTCTGGCTTTGGCTGTGGTTCTCAGCCGGAGCTGGCTGGACTGTGGGTGCGCTCATGGTGACGGGCAGCTGAGGTTGGCGCCAAGAGAAGGGTCTCGGCTTGGGAGCTTAGGATGAACGGTGATCCATAGGACAGAACCCATGAAAAAAAGCATGGACGAAGGAGCTCTATCTATATGTAAGCATCCACAAGGTAAGGCTACGGCCCAATTTTCGTCCAAAAAGAAGCTTATACGAAGGTTCATGCATGTTTTACGTAACGTTCCTCAACCACGCCAATATGTCACGGAATATGTGAACCGAACGAGAAGGACCACGCGAGGTTCTGGACTGACCAGCTCCATCCAGCCGGCATCGGACGAGCCACAGGGATAAATCAGTGGCACACCAAAGAAAAATGTTCAACGACTTCATCTAGCCAGGGCTGGGCGGTCTTGTTGTCACCAACAAACTTGTGTCAGTTCCGACTTTGCGCGAGACAGGTCCACTAAACATTACTTGGCAACGCTGTTCTGTTGGCTGGTCGGGCGAACTCTTCGCCGTGAGAATCGTCCAAGATTTCCGAAGAGGGGAGCTCGTCAGTGAAGGGTGGACACCCAACGTCGTATTACCATAGACTGCAGGAATTCCGCGCCGAAGGGTAGCCCGCGCGGGCGTGTAGATCACCAGTCTGACCAACAAGCTTCCATCATGGGGTCGCCTGGGACCCTCTTCCTCATCGCATCGCGCCGACTTGGCACAAGCGGTTGACAACGGATCAGATAAAAGTTTGCCTTTTGCTTGGCGCCATGCGGGAGCGGATCTGATAAGATGAAGATGGAGCCTCCCAGGAGAGTCAGTGAGGTGGGGAAGTTCTAACCGAGGCCACCCACTACCCTGCGTCGACGAGTTGCGTTTGCAGCGGGTTTTGAGAAATCTTGGACATTCGAGCCTTCAAGAGCTGCCAATTTTGACTTTCAGGCTACCATCATTGGTCACTAATGTGGAAGCATACGCTCATTCGTCGATTAAGTCTTGGACGACAAGCTCGAGTTGGCGCCCGTTTGCTCAAATTTTAGCGCTTGTGATTCCATTGCAGCGTTCCCCATCAACTTTTTGGTGTTATGACTTTGACTCTTCAGGAAAGGAGCTCGTAGTGTGTGGTCCCCAAAACTTGTGGCCCCAGCAGCAGCAGCAGCAGCTTGTTAGTATTGTACATGCAGTCCCACACGTGAGCGTTTTCTAACATCCGCTGACAAAACCTCGGAGTTTTATTACGGGCTCAAAGCAGAAACAATATCAATTATTTTTTCGAACACTAGGCCTCGAAAGCTCCGCGACATCGTGCTTCTATGGAACCCACCTATATTTCATATTTGACAGTTTCCACTTGCCGGCCTTCTCTTGTGGTCCATCGGTGTTTCCACATTACAACCCTTGTCTCCACTTCAGCTGATAGCCTGCGATAGCGTAAAGTTACCTCGCAGCGAATTTCAACCTCTGGCGTCTGTCGTATATGAGCAGACTTATACTCGAGCCTTTGAGGATGTATTTCAATTCCGACGGAGGTATGTCTGGAATCCCTCTCGTGCCGCAAGCTCGATTTGTGGCAGAGGATAAGTCAAATCAACTGGACAAATCTTGCTCGCTATGGACAACATACCTACCTTGTAGCGAAGGCTATTGTTATGCTCACGTGCATGTCATTGTCCGCGAGTGTAAGCTGATCGGGAACCATATCCCGACAAACTGCCTAGGCACTGTAGTACAGAACATCAAGATTTCGGAACAGAATGAAGGGCCGTAAGTATTCATGGTTGAACTTGAATTCTATGAGGGCTGAACCTGATTGATCGTCGAGGACGCTCATGAAAGACCTTCGCCCAATTCATCCAAGTCGAAGTCCAGATCAAGACTTGAATCATATTCTTCACTCACTCCCCCATTTTCTGATGGTTCTCTCAGTCCTTCTTGCGCTGATGTCTTCGCCGCATGGTCCGCATTCAGATCAACATCGAGCATTGCATCCTTGTAAATGTCGACGTTGCTCTTCTCAACAACATGCAACTTTCCATCCTTTTGCTTTTCACTTGAGTGGTATGTTTCGAAGTGCTGGACACATTTATTACAAAAGGCGAGGGCGTTGCAAGTTCTGCATCCGAATAATGGACCTGTGATCGTCTGGAGGCTCGTTAGATACGCAGTAGAGGGGGGCAATCTTGGGCTACATTACCACCAAACATGCGTGGCAAATGTGTCTTTGTAGGACGTATCGGCGATTTGATGATGCAGTATCGTTGCCTGAACTGCAAACTCTGGGTTCCAGTGCGCTAGTTATTTCGACGCCCGAACCACACAGCCGGGCCAAATTCAGTGGTGTCTTGTGGATAGTGCCAGTGCCTTCGTCGTCAGAGAGGTTGCATACTGTCTCAGGGCTAGCGCCGTGTCGTAGAAGCGTGCGAATGACGTTCAGGAAGTCTGGCTTTTCTGATCTCATCTTGCCAAAGTCTTCAGATTTCGACCCGCGCGCTGCCCAGCAGAGTGGAGTCCATCCATCGCTATCTTTGCAGTCTACGTCTGCACCGCAGAGGCGATTTATGATGAACTTAACGGTCTGTAAATTTCCAAATTGTGCTGCCCAGTGCAAGCAAGTCTTTCCCTCTTTGTCCGTGGCCATCATATCGCCCCTATAGGTCAGCATGACGGCTAGAAAGTTTTCAATGCCGTTTGCGGCCGCAAAGTGAAGAGGCAACCGCCCTAAGGAATCGGAATGCTGGACAGACGCTCCTTCATCAATAAGGAAATTGATTGTAGCAACACCAGCGTTGAAACATGCACCCTGGAATGCTGTATCAAATGCGAAAGCAGAGCCGCACAAAGTCTGTTGGATATCGGCTTTGTTAGAGACAAGCATACGGACTACTATGTCCACTTTTTGGGCGTCCCTATCGCGGACTGCATCCTCATTGGATAGCATAGTCGACATCAACGGCGTGCCATTGGCGTAGTTGAAAGCAATAGCGTTGGTGTCCGTCCCATGAGATATGAGACTCCGTATGACCTCAACATTTAACCTCTTGCAAGCCATATGAAGCGCAGTGCCGTAACTGGGCGCGGTGATGTTGACTTTTACTTCTGGCTGTGCAAGAATAAATGAAGTGACGTCAAGGTCGTTCCTGTACGCAGCGTCATGCAATGCTGTATATCCTTGACCATTTGCGATGTTGATGTCAGCGCCTGCTCTGGTGAGTATCCGCATATGATCCATCCGCGAGCAAGATGAGGCATAGTGGAACGCCGTGGCCTTCGAGAAATCAAGGACGTCAATGTCGATATCTCTTCGGAATTCCAGGAGAACTTTCAGGTAATCCAGAGGTGCATCGATAGCACGGTGCAAAAGACTTTCCCCGTGCACGACATCGCCTAACTTGGCTCCATTTTCGATCAGGTGTCGAAAGAGCCTCGTATCACTGACCAACTTGGATCTGTCGATCGCGTAACGGACAGGCGACATCTGCCAACCGTCGGCCTGGTTCACATCAAGTCCGTTTGCCATCAATAGCTCGACTATTTCTGTCCTTCCACTATGCGCAGCCAAAGTGAGATAAGTGAATGGTCCAAAAGTGTTGATAGGATCATCGGTAGCAGCCGGGACAAGTTGACACCCCTCAGGATTGTGCTTGAGGAGTTCTGCCACGATGTCCAGTCGGCCATGCCAGATGGCACATTTCATGGCATCTTGTCCAGAATCGTTGACAGAATTGATGTTTGCGTTTTTTGTAAGTAGCCAGCGAACGAGTGGCATTTTTCCCGTACGGCATGCTTGCATGAGAGCAGTTTCGCCGTCGGCGGCTGCTGCATTAATGTTGATCGCACTCTTGCCTGAAAGGAGTATGTCGCAAATATCGATGAGAATGTTGACTTTGTGTGCCGACTTTGCCATCTCGTGTAGTAACGGCGGAGAGAAGTTGTCATGGTTGGGATCCGCTCCGAATTGCACCAGACAACGAACACATTGGAGGTTGGGCTCATCGACGGTGCAAAACCAAAGCGGCGTATCCACACCATACGGCCCCAGGATGTTTGGGTCGGCGCCTCCTTGCAAGAGCGCCTCCATTGTCTTTGGCCACTGGTTTCTGCATGCTATCGCAAGAGGGCTCCATTCGCGGTAGTCATCGGAGGGAGAGCCAAGGGATGAATTGGGATCTGCCCCAAGTTGAATCAGTAGGCTCACGGCCCGCCAATGTCCCCTTTCTGCTGCCACGAAAAGACAAGAACTTTTGTGTTGCTGCCTTGTAGACGACGCAGTAGGACTGAAGAAAAGCCGGATCAAGTCTAGATGCCCGGAAAACGCAGCGGCAAGGAGAATGTCTTCTTGATCTGGCCCAGGGATCTCTGTCTTCGCTCCATGATTCAAGAGAGACCGGACGACTTCAATATGGCCACAACTCGTCGCCAAATACATGAGACTAGGATGCCGCACAGTGCTGTCCGTAGCATCATGGAGCGTCGAAGTCAGGTTCGGGCTAATTCCAGCGCGCAATAGATCATCCACAAGGGCTGACATTCCTAGCCATGTTGCTGCCCATATTGCTTTTTCCATCGACGAGAAGGCTTTGACCCTCCAATTCGTGTCTGATGTTATGTTTGAGGCTGCTTTCCGGGCTGTTTCTTCATCACCGGCTTGAATGGAAGTGGCGAGAATATCTTCCAAGGCAGAGAGTGGGAACGGCCCTTCATCAAGGAGCAACCATATCTCGCCCCCTCTGCCTTGGACGATTTTCATGAGGGCGTATTCTGCCCTCACTTCAATTGCTTCTTCTCTCATCTCCGCAAAAGGAGTCAATCCAAGGCCACCCAAAACCCCTTGTGCCGATGCTGGTGGGTTGCTGGTTCGCAAGCTGCTCATTGCCCAGTACAACTTTGCCCATACGGTCGAAGCTCTTCCTCTCCCGTGAGCGCAAAATCTTTTCAATGCCGTGGCAGAGTCGCTCAACTTGGACAGATGATAAGGCAGTGCCTGTATGGCGTAGTAGACGATGTCATTGTTGTCGCAGTCCAAGGGAGCAGTGGGTTTCATTCCCTGCTGATCGTTTTGCCACAGTGTGTTATAGTTCTTGAGCACGACTTCCAACTTCTCAACAGTGTGCTTTGCTGTGAGATAGTTGGCACAGAACTCGAACAGGGTATAATGTGCCGTCGATCTGACCTCGTCCCATATGCATTCTTCGGCTCCGGGGTCGTGCTCCAAAAGGTTCCTGACATCACCACGGATCTCAACCGGCTCCTTCTCTGTGTCAACGAGAATACGAAGCACAGAGATCAGCCATGTCGGTAGACTTGATGCCAGATCAACTGAAACCCAGCGTGAACCAGCATCCTCTTCATCGCGCGGCTCGTAAGGGCGTCTCCTGTTGCAGACAAAGACAAACTCTTGTACGTTCAGCGGTCGATAACTACAAAGTAACCAGCTCAGAACCCACTTGATATCCTCTAAGTGATCATTAGATTTGAGTAATCTGTGCAGAAAGGTCCTGACAGTGTCGGTAGGAGAGACAGATTGTAAAAGTCGAGAGGCTACCGTCAGAGAGGCTTTTGATCGGAGTTCGGGCCAGCCCGTGTAGTTTTGGACGATTCGAAAGATCGTCTGAAGTGTCGAGTCTGCATGGTGAGCACGAAGACCATGGAGATGTTTCCATACCGCATCTTCCATTCTTGAAATCGTACTCGACTGATCGGATTTGTGGACGACTTTGATGATTGGGGTGGTGGCTTTCGAAGGGAGCTCATCCACATTCAGCTTAGGCCATGCTGCAAGCTCTGACAACAGAATATCAGGCTTTCTCGAAGTGATTATCAGCTTGAATTCATGCTCAGTCTTGTCCACCATGTCTCCATAGTATTCGAGGAATCGCCTTCTATTATCCGAGTTGCACTCATCAAAGTCATGAAGAAGTAAGACTAGTCCTTGACAGAGGCATGTCATCTTAAGTGTCTCTAGAGCCACTTGGCATGAGGTGTCTCCCCAACCAGCCTCTGTTGCATCAATTAGTTAGCACTCAATATAATTCATACGAAGTACTCTGAATGGGGTTACTCACGCATAAGAAATGGTTCTTGCAGCTGTTGACACTCGTCCCTTCGACACCCTCGGCTGACGACAGATTGAAGAAGCATGCCAGCAACCATGCTTGGAATTGAGTCATGAAGAGGATCTCGCGAGTCAAATGTATACATGTAGGCCCGATTCGGAGAAAAGGTCTCGCTTTCTCTCAGAGTCTTTACATGTGAATTAAAGATATAGTTGGCCACGTCGTGAGTCGTTGTAGTTGAGTTACCGTGAACGTAGATAATCTTGCTCCCAATAGAGCTCGTCCATTCTCGGTAAGAAGGACTTGACTCAATTTTCAGTCCTAGCCCGCGAGTGTCTTCATCCCGGCTCCTGGGACGCAGCTGACGCGGGTGGGCAGTAATGGAAAGGAGAGATTTCTCTGTGGCGGCCCATGGGGCAGGCAACGAAGAGACTGACATGAGTTAGTTCATTGATACTTTGCAAAATTCTTCTCACTGTAGTGAACAGACTTACCTGAAAAATGCTTGGAAATCGTTCCAGATAGGTTGCAGAACCTCCACTCCATGGGTAGTTCTTTCTTTGATAGCACTCTGACTGTTTCTTGGATGGTAACTTCAGATGGCAGTCCCATAGTCGCAGTGAATTCATCCAGAGTCTGTCTCACTTGTCAGAATCGCCGGCTGTTGAGATCCGGTCCAAAAACTCCTATCTCACATGATGCAATGTCTCCTGCTTCTCGCTGGGGGCATGTAGGCTGATAATGAGGCAGCGAAGACTGATTTTGGACATCAAGAACAGCTGATTTGTCCTAAAGACGCAAGCTGCAAGACTGCGTATAGACATGGAAATGACGCTGAACATGACCTTTTCGTTGCTTTGATCGACCAGAAAATTGGCGAGCTTAGCCGCCAACTCGCTCTCATTCACCCCACGTTGTGGACATCCTGAAAATACCTTGACTTCGTTAGCCTTCACATGGAATCAAATCATCCTAGACTCTATCCTTACTATTCTTCTGGTATCAAAGAAGATATCCGGATACATGCTTGGAAAGCTGGCTGCCAAGTAGAGAGCCTGTGATTCCAGCAAAGTCCCTAGTGTGAGTAACTACCACTGAAATTTGGGTTTATAATGCAGGCCTAACTTACCATCTTAACAACGACAGATCCTAGATCATACGCTACGAAGATTATCGTCCGGCTTTTGTTCTTGATGAAGAGCTATTTAGTATCAGGCGCGACGCTTAGGTGATTGACTTGACTTACTGAGGTACCAGCCCTTATTGCCAGGAGCCCTCGGAGGAGGCACTTGGCTTGATCCTCTACGCATTCCTGCACCATCTCCCCGACAAGAAGGTCATTGATCCCCACTTGAAACACGAGTTCTCTGGTCTCAATCCCATTGAGCTTGTCAGAGAGCAAGTGCTCACGGCTGAATATCTGAACCTCAGGCTGAAAGCATGCGACATGTACGATACTGTGAAGAAAGAATGCGTTAGTTCTGGCCACCTGGTAATTCATGTGTTCCGGCGCGGCGTACATGATGATATTGGAGCCACCCTCACTCTCCCTGGGTGAGTGGCTGCTCTTCAACTGCAGGTATGACAATGCGATATCATCCTCGACGGCGTCATTCTCTTCTTCGGGATGGGGTTTTGGTTCCATTTCTGAAGTATGCCATGCTGGTGGTGGTACATCTTCAACAGTCATGGCGGCACTGTCTTCTGACGGCTGATCCCAGGCAATTCTTTCAAACACATGCGCTAGGACTTGCTCCGTCATGCTAGACAGGAGCTGATCAAAAGCGTATAAGCGTTCAATGTATGAAAACAGCAGTAAGCTTGGGAAACGAATAAAATCTTGCTATCACATACCTGAGTCTGCAAAGGCAGATGGCGTTCAACCGACTACAGACGGAAGTGTGACAGCGGGAGTTCGCAAACGCTACGCCCTTGAGATCAAAGCAGAAATCCCCAAAATTACTGCTAATCCCGTTATCAGCCAAAAGACCTTTGCAGCAGATGATGTGTCTTTCTGCCAACAGGCAGCAAGGCAAAACCCCTCGGGAGGGCAGTACTCACGCTGTTACAAGCATGCAGGCCACTCCAAGTCACAACGTCACGCCATGCATGAAGGACCAACACTAGCGCCAACGGGTTCCAGAGACGACGAAAATAGAAAATTTCCCTGGAAATTTGCCCCGTCGCTAAATGCGGAGTAGATGATCTCGTCATTACTTGCAGTCATCAGGTTAAATGAGCTGTACATTGCGGTAATATTTGAGATAGCAGTGGGAAAGAAGTTTTCACCTTGGGGTTTCGTTACCTTGCGACACCAACGATAACATCAACTTGAATAACTCAAAAATGAACGAACTTGACGATTCTGAGCTCTGGATGAGTACTGACTCGGAATCAGACAAAATCGAGGACTATGAGTCGATGTCTGAAGATGCTACCTCCTTTACAATAGATATGAGACCGCAAGGTCAGTCAGGAGGTAAATCGAGTCCTTGACCCGCACAGAAGCGTCTTTTGATCTCATCGAACGCAGGCTTCCATGTTCGAAACAGACATGGCGAAACCCAGCGAACTGTAGCAACTCAATTCCACTTGGGTTCCAGGAGAAAGCCAGCTTTCAACGTTGGTGCCATCGCCAAAGCTATCATTCACGGCACTTTAGACCAAGACTCCCACACACCAGCAACACTGCTGGTGTACGACTTTTCGTTCTTCTCTCACCGATCGACCCGTATCAAGGAGGCCAACATATCGTTCGAGTTCCGGGCAAAGAAAGGCAGCGCCAGCATAGGCCCGACAGTCACCAAAGTGGCGCCTTTTGGAAAACACGTCATGATGCAGACCACAGAAACGGTGACCAAGACAGTGGGAGGGGAGAGCGGGGTTTCGGGAGGCGCTGTTGTGAATGTCAACACCAACCTACGTGCCGAGAGGTCCGTCGAGAAGGTGACCACGCATGCGGCCAAGGTTGTGGGAAACAACCCCTGCGACGAGTGGAGCAACTATCCCCTCGCGCAGTGGTCTCTGCAAGAGAACGAGTCTCAGCAGAACGGGATTATGACGCTTTTTCGAGCATGTGTTCTTCTAACCAGGGATATAGAGGAAGACTTCGAGTTGTTGCCTGATGTCCAGGTGACACCTGACCTGAAGACCAGATTAGGCTCCCTCATGGCTTTCAGAAGAAGCGATGACCCAATCATACTCGCACCAGCCAGCGAGCCTCTGAACGCGCTAGCAAACGACATTGTACAGAAGCGTTGGAACCTGGGTCAGGTGGACTTATCCAGTTTGTGGGACTGTACATTTCACAACACATTTGAGGAAGCAGTCAAGGCATCCAGGGCCCAGTCGCTGCGCGAGGGGGAAGCTGAAAAGGTGACGACAGTTGTCGAGGTTGCAGTGGCTGAGTCATGATAAGAATAGAACCGAGTTCCAAATTCAGACATGTTGGTGTCATTTGTCACTTGGTAGTTGGTTGGTACGGCCGAACGAGTGACGGCCGCTGCATAGGCCCTGTTGGTTCGTTGGTCAGATACAAATGGCAATCACACCGAAACTCAAATTCCTCATGTCATATTTGATAGGCTGTTCAGCAAGAGTTATGGAGATGGCCCTGCAAGTCGTGTTGTTCTCGGCCGTGAATGCATGCCCTGTCTCGGTCGATCTTTCTGCACCAGGGCCCCAGCACGATACATGCATATCATCCTAGAGAAAATTAGCAAATTCTTGCATGTTCATGCAGACAGAAACTGGTGAGAACTTTGAATCCAGCGAGCGGGGTTACGTAGTATGTGAGCTTGACATCTCTCAATGACCCTCGCGAGCTATGTGCAGCACTCTGCTGATTTGAGATTTTGGCGCCAGACATTCTTCACCCCAGTCGCAAGTTCAGCGCACCCCTTGTAGTCTATTCTAGCCGACCAAGTGAGTTCTCCTTTGAGCCTTCATCTGTACATGTTGTAACGTGAAAGAACCACATAGATATGGAATTCGATTTTACGGACGACGAATTCGACGAGTTGGACGTCCTCCAGGTCCAAAACCATGCAGTTGACAATCCCAAAGCAACATATGAAGAGAGTGATGTGGAAAAAGAATGGAAGAGCTTGGAGTTGGATCTGCAGTGTCTAGATGTATTGGATCTTTTGATCGACAAGAAAAGGCGATGGGACAATACAGAAGGCGACGAGGAGACGCCGCTTCTCGAGGACTACAAGAAAAAGACAATTGCGTCGAGGAGGGATTACCGAGATCGCGTTGCGCCCACAGCACTGCATATTCTCGCTAAAAGCAAGAGAGACTTCTCCAGGGCTCCTAAGAACCTTCAGACCAATCTTGTTGGCTACCTTTTAGAATGCCGAGGTGGGACATGCGATGAGCTGGGGCCTCAGCACCGAGGGAAAGAAGACCTTTTTCTTCTGGTGGCCATCAACTACAACAATGACGACTTCATCGACTGTGTTGAGCGATGTCTGGGAGACAGGTTCTCAGATCTACTACATGTTCAAGACGGAGAGGGCAAGAATCTGCTACACCATCTCTTCACGTGGGATTCAACGAAGGCCATCCGCGACAAGAAGGCCCTTCTTGTCCCACACTTGTCTTCAAAAGCTAAACCACAGACTATTGCTACAGCAGACAATATCGGAAATACGCCTGTTCATTACGCAATGGACTGCCGGATGTGTTTGGACCGATCCGATGAATACTTCAAAGCGGTGAAGGCAATGTTTGAGGCCGGAGATGCTGTCATCAAGAAGGAACAGCGCCCACTATTCAACGAAAGAGGCGAGTCTCCCGTTATGTTTGGCCGAAAGATCCATCAAAGGTTCCAGAGAGACTACTCCGCGAGGAAAATGGCGAAAAAGGAGGCGCAAATCACTGCGCTTCGGTCAAAGGGGTTAATGAATTTAGAGAATGCGGCAACACCAGAAACAACACCTCTAGACAGTCGCCCTAAGCAACCCATGGGACCTCCCCCGGCGGATATGTACGTCAATCCGACCAGCAGGGATCCAGGAATGGTAGGCATTGTTAAAATGCCATCACTCCCTTTGGGTAGAACTACTGCAACATCCGATGGTATCGTCAAGGAACCAATGATGAAGGGCCCAAAGGCCGGAACAGCTTCGATACATCCCAGCATCAGCAGATCCAACACAGCTGGGCATGCGTCAGACCGCCCCCAAACCCCAACTGGTCTTCAATCCTCGACTCCAACGGACGGTCGATCTCGCGCGAATACGAAAAGACTGAGGGACATAGGGACTGAGAATACGATCAATATGTCCGCTTTTGAGGCCAAACTCAGGGGCTGGAGCGGGCTGGACGAATTCATTACCACACATTACATCCGAACGCGGTCAGATATGGAAGCCCGAGATCTGATATTCAGAGGCAACATTTCAGGTTAGTAAAATTCGCCGAGTTCCACTTGGCATGTTGTTGACGTTGGATTTGCTTAAGACCTCGACAAGAACCTGTGTTTCGATGCGAAGGGTCAGAAAGATGCGAAGAGCATAGTTCATCTTTTAAGCCGCATGTCCGCCGGTGGCTTCAACGACACTCTCGCCTACGTTCATCTCCCAACGGTCAGTCACAGCTCTATTAATACGCCACCAGGGCGAAACGCGAGCGCAGCTCAAAGAAGTTCCCTGACTGAAAATCCGTCACCCGGTCGTATTGAGCTCGTCAAAGTTTTCGACAAGTTACATGAGCTGAAGGTCAAGAAGATCTTGCGCCTACATGTCGAAGATAGGCACCCGCCTTCTCATACGGATGCCTCCATAGAGATTGCGTTACAAGGTCGAGAGTCCTTTCTCAAAGATGGTGGAACGGTAGGACGAGAACCGATAGCTGTTGAGACATGGTGGGTGTCATTCATGACCATTTGTCATTGTCAGGAGTATTGTAACTCTAACAATACATGAAGGGATTGGCGGAAGCCTGACTTGAGCACTGAAGTCATTGCCTTTGCTGCGCCTACCGTCGAGAATGTGCATCTCTACTGGAGTGGAAATCAGGCTGTTCTCAGAGCATGGGACTGCGACGAAGGTATTCCCCGGCTATATGTGACAACGGAGCGGAGGCTCAAGAGAGTTACTGTTCACGCAGCACCAGTAAGTGTCATTCTCAAGGCTTATACTATTTTGCCTTTCTGACCTGCATCTGACTAGGGGCTCGAAACTCGAGACAGGATGCTTGCGATGTTGAATCGATTCAAACAAGAGGTCCAGAGGAAGACAGGCGGCGGTGTTGCGGTGAAAACCGTCATTCGGATGGAGGGACTGATGGCGAACATGGACACTGTTGAAGATGCATCAGGTCCCGTTAGCGACGAGGCAGCTGAAAAGCAGCACGTCTGGGTCGACACGATGGACGTATTCCGAAGAGCTTTGAGCTCACTCCCAGATCTGAAGGGCAGCAAAGCTCCAAGAGTGAAGGTAACGTTTCTTCGACAGTATCCTACGTTTTCAATAGTTAACACGTCGCCCCAGCTCGCCCTCGTTGACGATGGGATCAATCTCGGTAACCTCGACGATTACAACGGCAGCGTCACAAGTAGTGGAGTTAGTTACTTCCCTGGTGGACCTTGGCATTGCTCTAGTACTGGTCATGGTACTATCTTGGCGAACATGATAGTCAGAGTCAACCCCTGGGTCGAGTTGCACGTCGTCAGGGTGCAAGACGGTCCGTCACGAAACGGTGGACGGAACATATTCGCCGGCAGTGCTGCGAAAGCCATTCGATACGCCATTGACAAAAAGGTGGACATCATCTCAATGTCGTGGGCCATAAAGAGCGCGATGACGGGAGGCCATACATCCCCCATGGGCAATGACTCCAGGAACGGTAGTTTTAGCGGCAGGCCGTCCATGGAGCAACGTGACATCCAAGCCCTCGGAGATGCCATCGATGACGCAGCAAAGGCTGGAATTCTAATGTTTTGCTCTGCGAGCGACGACATCCAAGCAGGCGCCATGGATACGCTCCCGTATCAGAAGCAGCCTGGGTACATCTTCCGCATCGGTGCTGCAACATACCTAGGCCAGCGTGACGGTCATACTGAGGATGTTAAAAGGATTGACTACTTCTTCCCTGGTAACCAAGTTGCCGAGGCCAAGAATCCCAGATCATCGGAACCAGTCAAGTATCACGATGGGTCATCAGTCGGCACGGCTCTCGCTGCGGGGTTGGCGTCTCTGCTCATGTACTGCGCCAGGATAACAGAGCATCGTCTTGCTGAAAAGCAGGGGCAGGAAGGCTCCCGGGTGGCTAGTACGTGCCTGGGATTGGCTGATGCGCTGCGACTCCAAAAGAACATGAAGCAGGCGCTCGACAACATCAAAAGCAGTCAGTGGACGGACGCCAAGTATCTGCCAGTCTGGGCAATATTCAAGCCCAAAGCAGATGACATGGAAAAGGCGAAAGACGAGGATAAATGGATGATTCTTGAGAAGCTCGTGGTCCAGTTGGGGGTTGGCATCAACTGATCGTTGTTGTTTACAAAGTGGAATTGTATCTTTTGGTGTTTTGCTTAGCTGGGTCGCGAGTGATGTTGCAAGAGTTGCAGACGCTAGTAGACCAGCTTATGTTCATCTCATATTCAACATTGTTCTAATGTCATGGCCCGGACTTGTGGCCCAAGGGCACAGCGCTCAATTGCCATGTTTCATGGGCCCTATTCAACATGCTGCACTGACTATCTTTTCCATTATTCAAGTCGTCTTTCTTGTTCTTGCTGTCCTTGTCGGCCTTATGGTTCGTCTCTGGTGGGGTCATCCCAAACCCTCATGCCCATTGCAGTGGATCCGCGATCACCCACAACGCAACATATTCCAATTGCGGACCCCTCACCGTCATTCCGGGTCTCCAGCAGACACAACAACATCATCAGCGCCGATGGTTTAGTGGTAAAATTCTCCGTTGCCATCCAGCAGCGTCGGGGAGCCGGGGGTTCGATTCCCCCTCGGCGCAGAATCTTTTGCTTTTTTGCCCATTTTCTGTCGTGGAAATGTCCCAAGACATCATGAACTCTCCTGGGTCTCTCTTAAATGCTCCTCGGGCCAAGCCAGGGCACAGAATGGAGGCCTACGTCCGGCAGCCTGCCTCGTGAGCCTACCTTAATTGGTCCAGCCTACATGAAGGGTGGCTTGCTTACCCAACGTGATGTCCTGGTTTCTGACCATCCAGCTCAGCCTGATTCATTTTCACTTCTTCTCGCGACGGCTTCTTCACTAAAAAAAACTGGATACTTTCATGTCATCTCTTTAATGTCCGTCGGCGGCATTTGTGCCATCACTCAACATGACTACGTACTGTTATCAATCACTCTCACATCAACGTGCTATCCGTCTGGTTATACTCTACCCAAGTCTTGAGGACAACGCGCCTCTATCCTGCAGCCTTGCTGAGACCAGTCTCAATCAGCCGGAAGACTACTACGCCCTGTCATATACCTGGGGCGGGGAAACATCAAGTCAGCCCATGTCTGTTCAAGAAGACGCGGCATCAGATGCTTTTGAATCTTCAACTTCAACTATTCTCGTGACTCCTAATTGCGCTACGGCTTTGAGAAGATTGCGGAAACTGGTGCAGGGAGCAGGAACTGGGGTTTGGGTGGACGCCATATGTATCGACCAAGCCGCCACTGAAGAGAAGAACGTGCAAGTGAGCATGATGGCAGACATATATCGCCAGGCGAAGTTCGTGATCGTTTGGCTGGGAGAGAAATGGGCACCAAAGGACATGAAGACAATATCCTTCTTATCGCACCGAAGACTGGCATGGATCGAAGACCTGAGAAAACCCCCAACTTCTGGATTCGAAAAGAAATTGCTAAAGGACCTTAAGTTCTGGATTTCAGACATGGCAAGTCGAGCTCTTGTCAAAGGTACTACCTTCCCAATGCCCATGTAGACTGCGAAGACCATAGCGCTTCTCAGCTAACACGAGATAGCCTCCCGTGACAAGAAAAGTCTTGAGCTTTTGTGCGATGCGCCCTACTGGACTCGAGCTTGGACTCTACAAGAGGCTGCACATGTCAATGTCAAAGTCCTGTGCCAAGATCCTCAAGTCGTAGGGCTGAACTTGGTGTACAAGGCAGTCGATGTGTTTAGCAACGGACAAGACATCATCCGCAGCGAGATGTGGTTCCATCAGGACGTCTTCAACAGAACTCAGAAATCACATCTCTTGTTTGACTTCGGAAATATTCATCTGTACAGGGTAGCGGATTTCATATCAATGAAGACCTCCGACCCGAGGGACAAGGTGTTCGCATTACGAAGTCAATACCCTGTTACATTCGGCAAGGTAGAAGTTGACTACAACCGCTCCACCGCCTCCATATTTACGGAAGCAACCAAGTACATGCTTGAAGTGCCCGAATGGTCGAATATTGTGTATGAGGCAAGCCGCTGGACAGCATTGAAAGACTTACCATCTTGGGCGGTCGACTGGGCCGGCAACGACATCCCGGAGCGATTTTGGAACTACAGATCGCTAGCATTCATGTTCAAGCCATCCGGCACCAGCCAGTATCGGTGCAGATTCTCGGAAGACAACAAAAAGCTTTACTTGGAAGGGCGAATCATTGGGGAAGTAGACAGCGCACACATTGGGCCCAGGCTTCACCGTCCGTCCGAGCCAGAAGCAAGAGACGGGAGGACTTGCAGCCCAGCCGTTGCAAATGGAGTTCTGGGTGCAATCTCTATCTGGGCATCCGAGCTGGGTGCCCCAAACGCCGAAGATTCGAGAGACAAACCGGTCGCATCTCCAGACCAGACTAGGAGGATGCAAAGTTTCACGAGTTTGATATCGCTTATAAGCAATGCACCGAGGGCATTGAGGCTCATAAGAAAACCTCGTGCAGTGAAGATCAAATACGGGGCGGCCTCTCACGACGCAGACTTTGCGGACTTTTTCAGGACGGGAAGGGCGTTTTTCACGACAAATGGTACTTGTGGGATCGGTCCCTGCGGCCTCGAGCCGGGTGACTTGATATGCGTTTTTGCTGGGCTCACGTTGCCGTTTATTATTCGCCCCCAGGGGCCGAGTTTCGTTCTGGTGGGACCCAGTATTATTGATGGTGTGATGAGAGCAGAATATTGGCCGGAAGATGAGAGCGATTTGACTGAATTTGAATTCATTTGAGTTGAGCCCAGGCTGTGGCGAGAAGGGAAGAAAGATTAACATTATGTACGAGTATTTTCCGTATAAGCGTTTCACAGCTAATGAGAGTGACCGGTAGACGATGGAGCTGACAAGCTTATCAAGAAAGGCAACTGGGACGACAAGTACTTACGATCACTGCTCAGTCAAACCAGGAAGATATCCTCTGCAGTTTTTTTTTAGTTTTTTTTTTTCTTTTCAATTACCCCCCTTTTTGATGCATGAATAGATTTTGGATTCGGATGAACTTAGTCTTTGCCACATTTATATGTGTCGGATATCCGTACTTGGGGAAGTCATCGGAGCAGAACTTCGGACGCACGCTAGTCTATTTTCGGTTAGCAGAAGGATCCAGGCAGACGACAGTGGACCCCCTTTTTCATCTTCATCTTCACCTTCCTCCCATCTCATCCCACGATGACCGTCAATCACAGGCCAAGAACTCGAACAAATTGATCGAGAGAGTTCTTCTATATGGTAATTCCCCCTTTTGTGTATCATGACCACCCAGCGACTGACAATATTCCCAGGCCATCAGCCATCTGAACCCCTCAATCCCCAAGCTCGTGTCATCAATCTAAGTTCATCGGGACCTGGGCGTCTACCACCCATCCCATGGCCAACATCTTCCGCCAGGCCACCTCGTGGCTCTACACCGGCCTCGCCGTATCCATTCTCGGGTCATGGTCCCTCATGATCCTCGTCTGCGTCGCCATGACCGCTCTCGGCCAGGACCCAGGCCTCCTCCAGCTCATCGCCCTCCCCTCCCTCCTAACCTTCCTCGTCGCCAAGCTCATCGTCGCCGCCTCGACCCCAACTCGCGCACCAACCCCAAACACACCGCGATCGTCCCAAGACAACCTCGCCACCTGGCTCGCAACAGCAGACAACGGCTCCCCCCACGGCGCCCTCGTCCTCCTCCTCTTCTCCATCACCTGGATCCTCCACCTCGCGCGCATCCTCTTCATGCTCTGCCTGCTCGTCGTCTTTGGCGGGCTCTTCCTCTTCGCCTCGACCCTCGACGCCGACGACAAGGAGGACACGGCCGCCGGCGGCAAGGGCTTCTTCCACGACGACGAGTCGCGGCAGAACTTCACCACCGCGCTGGTCGAGTTCGAGGAGAAGATCGGCTTCACGTTCGGCGACTCACTCGAGGACAGTCCCTGGCTCATCTTCCAGGTTGTCTCGGTGACGTGGGCGATGTTCAGTCTGTTGATGATGTACGTTGTCGGGTACGGGTTCGCGGCGCTGCGCAAGGTGTTGACGACGCCGCTTGAAGCCTGGGCGAGGGGGGAGGCGCCGGCGAGGATCGGGGGTGTGCAGGGCGCTGTTCCGGGAGCGGTTGTTGTTGAGAAGGAGAGGGTTGTGGTGGCGACGGGGTTGGAGGGGGCAAACTAAGGGGACGAGTGGGCAGCTGTGTGGCTTATTTGCTTCGAAACGTTGAAGCTAGGTCCTAAATTCAAGCAAACGATCATTCTGCATGCTCCCGTCGCCGAGCCGGAGCGGTGAGAAGCCCGGGCCATAGGACGGCACTGGTCCTCCGGGTGAGTGGGTCCACTCCGGTGCGTGCCTGCCCGATTCGTCTCTGTGAAGCAAACAGGCAGGAGCGCCCAGTTGGCGACTCCCCCTTTCAGCGAGAACGACTGCATTCCCGCGTCCGCCTCCCTATCATTGTTCCTGCCGTCGCCTTCAGCATCTTCAAATCAAAGCGCGTTCGTGGTGCAGTGGTTTAGCATTCTGGCCTCCCACTCTCTCAGAGAATGACAGCCAGGGACCTGGGTTCGAACCCCGGCGGACGCAATCTTTTGCTGCCAGCTGTCTTTTTATTTGTTCTAAAGCACCTGTCAGCTTCTGATTTCATTCGGCAGTCACTCGTGAGGACTATCGCACCCACAGGCTGCGTAAAGGATAAGGTCTTAAGCATAAGCAAGATACATCTACGTGAGCTTCCAGTATGATATCGTCTATGGTCCCGTGTGCCCGACACCGTATGCAGTCTATCCAAAATTACCCAACCCTGCGCCTGTATTACGACCTCAAAGTCATTATAAACCATCACCTCCATCCCTCACAATCATCCCTCCAAGTATCGACAGGCCTCCGCCACCCTCGCCGTAATCTCATCAACATACCCCCACGCAAACATATCAAAATGGTTCCCCTTCGTCACAAACGTCTTCTCAACATACCCAGGACAGTACCCATCCCACCCCAGCTTCGCATCCCCGCGATACACATCCACAGGACTGATCCCTTCCCCAGGCATCGGCACACAATCCGCCGCCCGCACAAGCACGCCCCTCGGCGGCCGATCCCACAC